TTTTCCGTTTCCGATTAGGATTTTTCTTCAATTTCTCAATTCTTCTTTCATTCTTTAATTTTTCAATAATTTCCTTTTAGAATTGTTCGATGTTTGAATTTCTTGTATTTTTTAAATTTTTTCGACTTTTAATTTTAGGTTTTAAAACTTTTAATGTTTCGATTTCAAGATTTGTTGATTTCTCGCTTTTAGTTTTTCCAATTTTTAATTTTTTTGGATTGGATTTTACATTTTTTGGTTTTTAAATGTTCCAATTTTTTCAATTTTACGACTCTTCAATTTTTCGGTTCTCGATTTTGAATTTTTTGGTTTTTCAATTTTTCCATTTTTAAAATTTTTGATTTTTCGACGTTCCGATTTTTCGACGTTCCGATTTTTCGAATTTTTGATTTTTCTATATTTCGCTTTCCAAATTTTTAGATTTCTCAATTTTCCGATATTACAGTTTTACGATTTTCAATTTTTCGACCGTCCAAAATTTTTTTAGATTTTTCGATTTTTCAATTTTTCGACCTTTTAATTTCTCGATTTTTCAATTCCTAAATTTTTCGATGTTTCAGTTTTAGGATTTTTCTTCAATATTTCGATTCTTCACTTTTTCTTACATTTTTTAATTTTTCAATATTTCCGTTTTGGGATTTTTCAATTCTTCAATTTCTTGTTTTTTTTTTACTTTTTTCAATTTAAATTTTAGATTTTTCGGTTTCTAATATTTATGGATTGAATTTTTAAATTTTTATTTATTTTTCGGTTTTTAAATTTACGATTTTAGCCTATTTCTACTTCTCCGACTTTTTGAATTTTTTGATGTTTCGATTTTCTAATTTTTCGATTTCGCAATTTTTAGTCATTTCAATTTGGGAATTTTTCTATTTTTCTATTCTTTAATTTTTTGATTTTTCAATTTCTTAACGTCTCAAAATTTTCAATTTTTCGATTTCTCTTCATATTTCTCGTTTTCTTCATTTTTTAATGTTTTGATTTTTCAGTTTTTCAATTCTTTTCGATTTTTAAGGTTTCTGATTTTCCAATGCTTTGGTTTTTTAAATTTTGAATTTTGCGACATCGATTTTTCGACTTTTTGATTTCTCGATTTTTCAAGTTCTAAATTTTTCGATGTTTCAGTTTTAAGATTTTTCTTTATTTTTCCGATTCTTCAATTTTTCTTCCAATTTTTAATTTTATCATATTTCCGTTTTGTGATTTTTCGATTCTTCAATTTCTTGATTTTTTTTTACTTTTTCGACTTTTAAATTTTAGATTTTTCGATTTCTCTATCTTAACGTTTCAAAATTTTCAATTTTTCGATTTCTCACGTTCTCGATTAATCGATTTTTTGATTTTCCTATTTCTCGTTTTATCGACTTTTCAATGTTTTGATTTTTCAGTTGTTCAATTCTTTTTTATTTTTGAGGTGTTTTGTTTTATCAGTTTTTCGACTTTTTGATTTTTCGATTTTTCAATTTCTAAATTTTTGGATGTTTCGATTTTAGGATTTTTCTTCAACTTTTCGATTCTTCAATTTCCTTGTTTTTTTTTATTTTTTCGAGTTAAATTTTAGATTTCCGATTTCTGGATTTTTTGACTTCTCGCTTTCTAGATTTTTCGGTTTCTAATATTTTTGGATTGATTTTTTTGTTTTTTAATTTTTCAATTTTTTTCAAATTTCCTATGTTTCAGTTTTACATTTTTCAATTATCCTTTTTCGATTTTTAAAATTTTTTATTTTTCGATTTTTAAAATTTTTTATTTTTCCGTTTTTAATTTTCGACTTTTCGACCTTTTGAATTTTCCAATGTTTCGATTTTTCAATTTCTGACGTCTCTAAATTTTAAATTTTTCGATTCATTGAGAAATCGATTTTTTGGTTTTTCTATTTCTCGATTTCTCAACTTTTTAATGTTTTGATATGTCAGTTTTTCAATTCTTTTCGATTTTTCAGGTTATTGAATTTTGAATTTTTCGATTTTTAAAATTTTGAATTTTTCGACATCGATTTTTCGACTTTTTGATTTCCCGATTTCTCATTTTTTCCAATTTTAACATATTTTCGTTTCAGTTTAGGATTTTTCTTCAATTTTTCAATCCTTCAATTCTTCCATTCTTTAATTTATCGATAATTTCCTTTTGGGATTTTTCGATTCAATTTCTTGTTTTTTTTTTATTTTTTCGACTTTTAATTTTAGATTTTAAAACTTTTAATGTTTCGATTTCTAGATTTGTTGACTTTTTTAGATTTTCCGGTTTTTAATTTTTTTCGATTGTATTTTAACATTTTTTGGTTTTTAAATTTTCCGATTTTTTCAATTTTACAAGTCTTCCATTTTTCAGTTCTCGATTTTGGATTTTCATTTTTTAAATATTTGATGTTTCGATGTGCCAATTTTTCGAAAATTTTGATTTTTCAATTTTTGGGTTTCCAAATTTTTAGATTTCTCAATTTTCCGATATTTCAGCTTTACGATTTTCAGTTTTTAGATTTTTCGATTTTTCAATTTTTGACGTCTGTAAAGTTTTTGATTTCTCAATTTCTCGGTTGATCGATTTTTCCATTCGTCGATTTCTCGAGCTTTCAATATTTCCATTTTTCAGTTTTTTAAATCTTCAATTTTTCGGTTTTTCAATTTTTCAGGTTTTTAAAAAATCAAAAATTTTTCTCTGCTTTTCGATTTTTTGCTTTTTTAAATTTTTCAATTTATCAATTTTTTTTAATTTTAAATTTTTTATTTAATTTTTAACTTTTCGATTCTAATTTCTGAATTTTTCGATTTCTCGGTTTTTCGACTGGATTTTCTAATTTTTCGATGTTTTGATTTTTCAAATTTTTGATTTCCCAATTTTTCGTCATTTTAGTTTTGGAATTTCTCAAATTCCTGATTTTTAAATTTTTCGATTTTAAAAAGTTTCGATTTCTCGATTTTTCAAAATTTTTAAACTTTTGATTTTTCGGTTATTTCATTTTTCAATCTGCCGATTTTTTAAATTTCACATTTTTCGATTTTTCAATTTTACGATTTTTTAGTGTTTCGATTTCTTGAGATCCCGGTTTTTCGATTTACAAAATGTTTCGATTTTCCGAGTTTCCAAGTTTACCATTTCTCATTTTTCAACATCTGAATATAGGAAACTTTGTCTGGATTTTTCAATTTTTCGATCAATTTTTTGACTTTTAAAATTTTCGATTTTTCGTCTACGTCTAATAAAAATCCGGACAGACGACAGACAGACAGACAGACAGACGGAAACGGAAGACCTATTGTTTCATACTCTAGGAGTCACGCAGCGTCAATAAAACATGAAAGTGGCAACTACCAGTTGCTCACAGGTCGCAAAAATTTCTCAAAATAACCTAATAAACAAAGCGTGCGTTGTTCCCATTTCCACGGAAACCCGTGACGTCACTTAGTTAAGTTAGTTCCCAAAATGGTGGAAGCCCCACGCCGTAAATTCGTGCCCCCCGGGTCCGCCACCACCCTCACCACCCGCGCCTCCAAAACGGGAACCGCGCTCCCCGCCGCCGTCAAGCACGGCCGCCTCTCTAACGGCCCCGGCACCCACGAGATCCCCGTCGAGCTCTTCGCCAACAACCGCACCCGCCTCATCGAACAGCTCCGCCCCAAAATCACCGGCAAACCCGTCGTACTCCTGCAAGGCGGCGACGAAGTCCCTCTGTACGACACCGACAACCTCTACGCCCCCTTCCGCCAGGAGTCGTTCTTCATGTGGACCTTCGGGGTCGTGGAGCCCGGTTGCTACGGCGCCATCGACATCCAGACCAAGACTAACTACCTCTTCGTGCCGCGCTACCCCGATAGTTACAGGATCTGGAACGGCCACCTGCCGTCTCCGGCGCACCTAATCAAGAAGTACGGTCTCCACCAGGTGAACTACGTTGATGAGTTGCTGCCGGTGTTGTTGAAGATGACCCCCACGGTGCTGTTGACGCTCCGGGGGGTGAATAGTGATAGTAGTGTGACGTCGAAGGAGGCGCGTTTTCCGGGGATCGATAAGTTCCAGGTGAACAACGCGATTTTGTATCCCGAGATTGCGGATTTGAGGGTGTTTAAGAACGATTATGAGATCGACGTGTTGAGGTATGTCGTGGAGGTGACGTCGGAGGCGATGAGGAGTGTCATGCGCTTCGCGCGCCCCGGGAAAACGGACAGACAATGTGTGGCGGAATTTCTGCGGTATAGTAGCGTGGAGGGTGGGTGTGAGCCCGCCGCCACCATGTGTACGTGCGCGGCGGGGGAGAACGCCGCCTTTGTTAATTACGGAGGGACGGCGGACGTGGTGCTTCTGCCACCCGATGGCTTGTGTGTGTTGGACATGGGGGCTTGCTATTTCGGCTACTGCGGCAAAATCTCGTGCACGTTTCCTCTAGGTGGAAAATTCGGGACGCGCCAGAAGATAATCTACGAAGCGGTTTTAGCAGCCAGGGACGCCGTCTTCAAGGAGTTACGTTCGGGGGTGGAGTGGACAGACATGCAACTGCTGTCACAGCGAACACTCCTGGGGGAGCTCAAAAAAGCCGGACTACTAAGAGGCGACCTAGACCAAATGGTCAATTCCGGCTTAGGCGTGATTTTCCACCCCCACGGCATCGGCAGCTTCCTAGGGCTAGACGAGCACGACGTGGGGGGCTTCATCGGAGCAAAACCCGCTGAAGGTCGCGCCGTCAACATGCTCCGAACCACGAGAGTCCTGGAGGAGAGAATGGTCCTCACACTAGGACCCGGCTGCTACTTCAACGACATGCTCCTAGACGAAGCCGCAGAAAACGCCTCCTTGAACCGCTTCTTCGTAACCGAAATCCTGAGGAAATTCCGCGGCCTGGGGGGCGTGAAAATCCAAGACGACGTTCTCATTACGAAAAACAAAGCAATTTGTCTGACAAAACTGCCAAGAACGGTCACCGAAATCGAAAACTGGTTGGCCGGCAAAGACGACACCAAATATTACAACTAAATTAACTAATAATAATGATGATAAAGTCAAACCTTGTCTACTCTATCCGTCTGTACCCCATACTTCCCCCCGAACCCCGCGCTGTAGTCCTTCTGCGACGCGTGCTTCTCCAGCTTCGCCACGTACTCGTGCCCCACTGCCGACTGGTCCATCCGGTCCTTCTCGATCCCGAACTTGCCCCCGTACCCGAAAGACGGGTTGCTGGGGTCCTCCATCATTTGTTTCTTTTTCTTGAGGGCGTCCGCCTCTTCCGTTTCCTTTCTGAGTTGACTCATGCTAAGATAACAAGATTAGAACGCAGAAAAGCAAACCGCGGTGACGTACTCGATGGCCCCGGCGGTGCGGCCGGAGCCCGCGATGGTGGCGGAGCCCCATCGCTGCTCCTGCTCGTTGACGTCGTTGACGAAGTCGGGGTCGGTCTCCCACTCGTCGTCCTCGGCGGGCTGCTCGCTGAGGCTGATCTGCTGGCCGGCGGCGGCTTTCCACATTTTAGGTTAGGTGCGAAAACGGGGACGCGACACTCAACGGAACACAAAGTTAACGAAATGGGGGCGGCGGTGGCGAGTTTTGTGTAAAATTTGTGCGTTATTTAGCGATATAGCCTTATCAACAAAGGCAACACCCGGGCTGGGAGTGACATTTGGCGACGGAACTACGATAAGACGAACTACGGTAGGTCGGTTGGAGCGATCAGTGGGTGTATTGCTGGTTGCATAACTTTGAACAAAATTTTTATCTGTGGTTTCCTGTTATTATGGTTTTATAAACTCATTAGACAAAAATTTTAAGATCATTCAGTATTAAAATGACATGTCATTAAATAAAAAAAATCCTACTCCAAAGAAAAAAGTCAAAAACTAGAGTTTTGTTTTTTTAAATCATACAGTAATCAATTTTTTGGGGTTGATAAACAGATACATTTTGATTAAAAAGTTACCAAAACGTCTGCAAAATTTCAAAGTATTCAGTTTGCAATTCTTGGTTTAATCCATAACATAAAATGACTCAGTCATTAATTGTTTTGAGACACCCAGTATAAGCTCCTTTTCAACTTCCATTTTCTTTTTCATTCACTTTATATACATGACATAATTTATTATACATTTGTTGTTTTTCCACATAATATATACAGGTTTCTTTCAACAACACCTCAAACCATGTTTCAGAGGATAATTTCATGTAGAGAAATAAGGATTTAGCAACCCCACCCCCCGACTCACAACGAATGAACAATCATTACAATTGACATGGCGGTGGGTGGGCGGGGCTTAAATTTTGGCTTTTTTCTGAATATACGTAATCTTATGTTGGTAAATATTTGTCCGGAAACATCAATTTTACAAACAAACTCCGCCCTTCGGTCTGACAACGAATGAAAAGTTCATTACAATTTCTTAACGTATATAGTTTTTTTCAAACGGTTATACTTGAAAATATGTTTCACATGGTAGTTTTTTTTTGCAGAGAAATAAGCATTTTGCAGTTAAGCTCCGCCCCTCGGTTCACGACGAATACAAAAATCGTCACAATTGAGATGAGGGTGGGTGGGTGGGGTTTGTATTTTACCTTTTTTTTATGTATGTACGTAGTTTTCTTTTCACAAGAACCTGAAAACATGTTTAAAGTGGTTTAAGCTCCACGCATACTCGCCCCGACTACTACGTATACTAAGAAAAAACCCAAAAGATAAGCCACACCCCCCTGTCTGCATCTCAATGGTGATGAATTTTCCATTCGTTGGCAGACCCAGGGGCGGAGCCTAATTGCAAAATTCATATTTTCTTACAAGAATTTACCATTTTAAACCCGTTTTAGGTTTCTAAGAAAAAAAAATTCATCACAATTGAGATAGGGTGGGTGGGCGGGGTTTATATTTTTCCTTTTTTTTAACATACGTACTATTCTTTGTATAACACGATACTCGAAAACATATTTTTAATTTCTTGTAGAGAAATAAGCATTTGCAGATAAGCTCCGCCTTCTTGACTCGCGACGAATAAAAAAAATCGTCACAATTGAGATAGGGCGGGTGGGCGGGGCTCACATTTTGCCTTTTTGTTTCAATATGTGCAGAAGCCCCACCCATTCGTCTCGATCTCAACCGTGATGAATTTTTCATTCGTTGTCAGACCGAAGGGCGGAGCATAATTACAAAATCGATATTTCCCTATACAAATTTACCATTTTAAACATGTTTTAAGTTTCTTGCGGTGAAAAGATGATTACACATATTAAGAAAAAAGGCAAAATGTAGAACCCGCCCACCAGGTCGAAGGGCGGGGCTTAATTGCAAAATCCATGTTTGTCTACAAGAATTTACCATTTTAAACGTGTCTTAAGTTTCTAAGAATAAAAAAATCATCATAATTGAGATAAGGTGGGTGGGCGGGAATTTTTTTTCAACACGGTAGTGAAAAACATGTTTTTGATTTCCTGTAAAGAAATATTTTGCAGTTAAGCTCCGCCCCCTTGGTTCACGGCGAATAAAAAGTCATCACAATTGAGATAGTGTGGGTGGGTGGGGCTTATATTTTGCCTTTTTTTTTCTTAATATGTGTAGATTAATTTCGACAACAAGAAACTTAAAACATGTTTAAAATGGAAAATTTGTGTAAGAAAGGAAATATTGATTTTGCAATTAGGCTCCGCCCCATAATTGCAAAATCCATTTCTTTGCAAAAATGTACCATTTTAACCATGTTGTAAGTTTCTAGTTGTGAAAAGATGGCTACGTATATTAAGAAAAAAAGCAAAACATAAGTTTTAAGTTTCATGTTGTCGAAATAAATCTACACATATTAAGAATAAAAAAGGCAAAATATAAGCCCCGCCCACCCACCCTGTCTCAATTGTAATGATTTTTTTTTATTCGTCGTGAGCCAAGGGGGTGGAGCTTAAAATCCTTATTTCTGTACCAGAAATTTCATGTAAAACATGCTTTTAAGTATCGTGTTGTTACAAAAATAGCATACACGTCCAGATCTCAGTTCTCAGCTGTGATGAATTTTTCGTTGGTTGTCATATCGAGGGGCGGAGCTTAATTGCAGGATCCATATTTGTCTACAAGAATCAAGAATTTACCATTTTAAACATGTTTTAAGATTCTTATTGTGAAAAGGCGACTACGTATGTTAAGACAAATAGCAAAATATAAGCCCCGCCCACCCGCCCTATCTCAATTGTAAAGATCTTTTTTTAATCATCGAGAGCCAAAGGAAGACAAGAAATTACTGTGTAACACATGTTTTTGAGTATAAAGAAAAAATAAAAGCCAAAGATTAAGCCCCACCCATACCTGCCCTGATCCAGATAGTAATGAAGTTTTCATTCGTTGGCAGACCCAGGGGCGGAGCCTAATTGCAAAATTCATATTTTCTTACAAGAATTTACCATTTTAAACCCGTTTTAGGTTTCTAAGAAAAAAAAATTCATCACAATTGAGATAGGCTGGGCGGGCGGGGTTTACATTTTTCCTTTTTTTTTAACATACGTAGTATTCTTTGAATAACACGATACTCGAAAACATATTTTTAATTTCTTGTAAAGAAATAAGTATTTGCAGATAAACTCCGCCTTCTTGACTCACGACGAATAAAAAAAATCGTCACAATTGAAATAGGGCGGGTGGGCGGGGCTCACATTTTGCCTTTTTGTTTCGATATGTATAAAAGCCCCACCCATTCGTCTCGATCTCAACCTTGATGAATTTTTCATTCATTGTCAGACCGAAGGGCGGAGCATTATTACAAAATCGATATTTCCCTAGACAAATTTACCATTTTAAACATGTTTTAAGTTTCTTGCGGTGAAAAGATGATTACACATATTAAGAAAAAAGGCAAAATGTAGAACCCGCCCACCAGATCGAAGGGCGGGGCTTAATTGCAAAATCCATATTTGTCTACAAGAATTTACCATTTTAAACGTGTCTTAAGTTTCTAAAAATAAAAGAATCATCACAATTGAGACAGGGTGGGTGGGCGGGATTTTTTTTTCAACACGGTAATGAAAAACATGTTTTTAATTTCCTGTAAAGAAATATTTTGCAGTTAAGCTCCGCCCCCTTCGTTCACGGCGAATAAAAATTCATCACAATTGAGATAGGGTGGGTGGGTGGGGCTTATATTTTGCCTTTTTTTTCTTAATATGTGTAGATTTATTTCGACAACAAGAAACTTAAAACATGTTTAAAATGGAAAATTTGTGTAAAAAAGGAAATATTGATTTTGCAATTAGGCTCCGCCCCATAATTGCAAAATCCATTTCTTTGCAAAAATGTACCATTTTAACCACGTTGTAAGTTTCTAGTTGTGAAAAGATGGCTACGTATATTAAGAAAAAAAGCAAAACATAAGTTTTAAGTTTCTTGTTGTCGAAATAAATCTACACATATTAAGAATAAAAAAGGCAAAATATAAGCCCCGCCCACCCACCCTGTCTCAATTGTAATGATTTTTTTTATTCGTCGTGAGCCAAGGGGGTGGAGCTTAAAATCCTTATTTCTCTACCAGAAATTTCATGTAAAACATGCTTTTAAGTATCGTGTTGTTACAAAAATACCATACACGTCCAGATCTCAATTCTCAGCTGTGATGAATTTTTCGTTGGTTGTCACATCGAGGGGCGGAGCTTAATTGCAGGATCCATATTTGTCTACAAAAATCAAGAATTTACCATTTTAAACATGTTTTAAGGTTCTTATTGTGAAAAGGCGCTACGTATGTTAAGACAAATAGCAAAATATAAGCCCCGCCCACCCGCCCTATCTCAATTGTAAAGATCTTTTTTTAATCATCGAGAGCCAAAGGAAAACAAGAAATTACTGTGTAACACATGTTTTTGAGTATTCACAGAATACTATGCGTATAAAGAAAAAATTAAAGCCAAAGATTAACCTGCCCTGATCCAGATAGTAATGAAGTTTTCATTCGTTGGCAGACCCAGGGGCGGAGCCTAATTGCAAAATTCATATTGTCTTACAAGAATTTACCATTTTTAAACCTGTTTTAGGTTTCTAAGAAAAAAAATTCATCACAATTGAGATAGGGTGGGTGGGCGGGGTTTATATTTTTCCTTTTTTTTAATATACCTAGTATTCTTTGAATAACACGATACTCGAAAACATATTTTTAATTTCTTGCAAAGAAATAAGTATTTTCAGATAAGCTCCGCCTTCTTGACTCACGACGAATAAAAAAATCGTCACAATTGAGATAGGGCGGGTGGGCGGGGCTCACATTTTGCCTTTTTGTTTCAATATGTGTAGAAGCCCCACCCATTCGTCTCGATCTCAACCGTGATGAATTTTTCATTCGTTGTCAGACCGAAGGGCGGAGCATAATTACAAAATCGATATTTCCCTATACAAATTTACCATTTTAAACATGTTTTAAGTTTGTTGCGGTGAAAAGATGATTACACATATTAAGAAAAAAGGCAAAATGTAGAACCCGCCCACCAGGTCGAAGGGCGGGGCTTAATTGCAAAATCCATATTTGTCTACAAGAATTTACCATTTTAAACGTGTCTTAAGTTTCTAAGAATAAAAAAATCATCACAATTGAGACAGGGTGGGTGGGCGGGAATTTTTTTTCAACACGGTAGTGAAAAACATGTTTTTAATTTCCTGTGAAGAAATAAGTATTTTGCAGTTAAGCTCCGCCCCCTTGGTTCACGGCGAATAAAAAAATCATCACAATTGAGATAGGGCGGGTGGGCGGGCTTACATTTTGCCTTGTTCTTTTAATATGTGTAGACTTCTTTTCACAACATTAAACTTAAAACATGTTTAAAAAAGAAAATTTGTGTAAGAAAAAAATCCATTTCTTTGCAAAAATGTGCCATTTTAACCATGTTGTAAGTTTCTTGTTGTGAAAAGATGGCTACGTATATTAAGAAAAAAAGGCAAACATAAGCCCCACCCACCCACCCTGTCTCAATTGTAATGATTTTTTTATTCGTCGTGAACTAAGGGGGTGGAGCTTAAAATCCTTCTCTACCAAAAATTTCATGTAAAACATGCTTTTAAGTATCGTGTTGTTCAAAAAATATCATGTATATTAAGTAAAAAATAAAGCCAAAAATTAAGCCCCACCCTTCCGTGTTAAATTTAATCGTGATGACTTTTCCATTCGTTGTTAGACCGAAGGGCGGGGTTTAATTACAAAATACATATTTCTGTACAAAAATTTACCCTTTTGTACGTATTTAAGGTTTTTTGTCGTGAAAAGACTACGTATATTAAAAAAAAAAAAAACAAATAATATATATGTATATTGTCAGACTTAACTACACTGAATTAATTTTCGCTACAGGCTATCCAACGCACTCATAGCAAATACCCCAACTCCGACGAGTGTGACGTCAAATGCGACCGAAGCGCATGCGCTTGGATAAACCCTTTGTTACAAATCGGGCACACATGCGCCCTTTCATCCGTGTGTATTTTCCCATGTACTTTCAGACTACTCATCCGATTGAACGACTTTGAGCACACTTCACAAGTGTAGGGTTTCAAACTAGTGTGAATGATGGCGTGTCGTTTCAATCTAGTGGACGACGGGAATGCTTTGTCACATACACTAAAACACACCCATTAAAAACAATATAAAACAAAAAACCCTGTTGCTACCTACTCGCACTTAAAGGGTTTCTCTCCAGTGTGAATCCTCATATGTTGTACTAAATGCGACTGCATTGACATCGTTTTCCCGCATACATTACACATGTAGGGTTTTTCTTTGGTGTGTGATCTCATGTGGTACCCTAAATCAGGCGCTTGCCTGAAACCTCTACCACATATGGAACACAGGAAGGGTTTCTGACCCGTGTGGACCCTCATATGCGCCGTCAAAGTCCCCGACTGTCTATATCTTTTTCCACATAGTTTACAAACGTAGGGTTGCTCACCCGTGTGACTACGATTGTGGTAAAGCAGAGAACTGCACTGTTTGAAACTTTTACCGCAAGTTTTACAAGTGTAGGGTTTTTCTTGAGTGTGGTTGCGCATGTGCACGCGAAGACTGTTAGAGTACTTGTAGGATTTGTCACAAATCGTGCAACTATAACTCTTTTCGCTGCTTGTTTTACTAATTGGCTCATTTTCCGTCTGCTTTAACGCGTCTTGGTCATTTTTGACGCCTTCGTCCACCAAAAATACGCTTTCTTCGATTGACTTTACTTGTGAACATTGTTTTAAATACGTTTCTAAAGCGGCCTGGGAGCGGCTGCACTGTTTTTGGAATTTGAACGACACATGGGCCAGTTCTACACACTTCATGCAGATCATGGACGGCAAACCATCATTGTTTTGAATCTTAAAAAAAAAATTGGGTTGGTAACACTGCGACAAAGGTGGCGCCATGCGGCGACCACTCAAACTAAGCAATGCGGTGATTTTTAAGTCACCAATTTACAATAAAACATGAACTAATCGCATTTTACCTTCAGAGACAACACATTTGTTAAAATTTCGTACACACAGGGAATTTCTTCTTGGGTGTGTTCCTCGTAGACCTCACTATAAATCGAAAACATGTGGTCGTTTTCTGATAAACAAACCCGACAGATTTTACTCAAATCGTGAATTATTAAACCCTCCATGCTATTTAATTTTATTAACGCTTGTTTTTGTGTTGTGGAGGTTGACGTTTGACAGTTAGGAATGAGACAATCAATTCGAGTGCATTCGAACTACTCCAAGTGAGTCGGTTATTTGTCTTCCAACTGTCAAAAGTCAAAAAGTAAGTTACCCAAAAACGTGCATGTTTACCGTCGGTTTTTACAAATTCGCCCCAAAATTGTTACCCAAGATTGGTAGAATTTGCAATACACGTATCCATTTAACCCCCAACATGACTCACAACCCTAACCTCTTAAAACCCCCAGAGCACGTGTCAGGTCTCACCACTCTGAACAAATCTCTATTCGAAAAAACGGTCACTTTACCTTGTCTCGTAATAAAAGACGTGAAAATCTCGTCAGTTCTACCCCACGTGAAGAAATTTTTACTAAAATTGGATAATTTCAAACCTGTGAGAAACATCTCCGAAAATGAAGCCCACATCTACTTAAACCCGGACCTCGTGACCCGGTGGAGTGACTTAAGTGCAGACACCCCCCTTTTGACTGAGAGTAACCTACAAATGCAAACGTGCACCCTCACGTATGACAATTTCTCCCTGGAAAGTGTCCTCCGAGCCGTGTTACCCCCACAAATCGAAGGAACGTCGAGTTTCACTAAAGTGGGGCACATCGTCCACGTGAACCTGCGCGAGCACCTGCTCCCCTACAAAGACCTAATCGGACAAGTGTTATACGAAAAAGTCGCCAATTGTCGCACCGTGGTGAACAAGGTGGCTATAATCGACAACACCTACCGGAATTTCAACATGGAGGTGCTGCAAGGCGACGACGACATGTTGACTTCAGTCAAAGAAAACAAATGTGTGTTTGAGTTCGACTTCTCCAAGGTGTATTGGAACTCAAGGTTGTGTACCGAACATGAAAGAATTGTGACCATGGTGGCCAGTGGGGACGTGGTTTTTGACGTTTTTGCAGGGGTTGGACCCTTCTCTGTACCCTTAGCTAAAAAAAAGTGCCGAGTGTTTGCTAACGACTTAAACCCGGAGTCGTTCAAGTGGCTGAATCATAACCTCAAAAAAAATAAAGTGGCTTCGGGGTGCTGTGACTCCTACAATAAAGACGGAAAAGATTTTATAATGAATGAGGTTAGAAATTTATTGCCGGGGTTCTTAAACACGAAAAAAGTTTACATTTTGATGAATTTACCGGCGTTGGCTGTGGATTTTTTGGGGTGTTTTGTGGGGTTGTTTGACGATAGTGAATTGGCACAAGAGTTTGACGCTCCAGTGGTCGTTGTGTACTGTTTCGCTAAGGGTGAAAATTGCGAACAAATCGCCAAGAATTTGTTGTTCGAGAAAGTAGGCTGGGATATTAGTGACAAGATTATCGATTTGTTCAGAGTGCGGACTGTGAGTTCTTTGAAGGAAATGATGAGGATCAGATTCAAACTTGACCGGGAGATTTTAGTCAAAAGTGGTAACCAAAAACGAAAACAAGCCCCTGAAAGTGGTGATTTGACAGCCAAAAAATGTTGTGTTTTTTGAGGTTATGTTATTTATTAATTAGTGTGTCGTAGGTCGCCATGGGGAAAAACAAGAAGAAGACCAACAGCGTGTTCAAAGTGGCCGGAGCCAAGAGTCTGAAACCCAAAACCAAAGCGAAAGTGGTCAAAACGGAGCTGAAAAAGGTAATGTCAAAGTCAAGTGTCAAATTGGCGGCATTGCCAACTTAAATTTGTAAAAAATAAATTCAATTTTTCAGATTAGCATTAAAAATAAGTCAAAAATATCAGAAATTGACAAAGAATTGGTGAATCTGGAAGACAAAATTAGGAGCACGAATGAGAAAAAGGCACCAGTTAAAAAACAAGGTAAATTGCCTTCACAAGACAGTAGAAAGTCGGAAGACGCTCAACTGCAATCTCAGGCGGCGTTGGATCAATTAAATGCCATGCAGTTATAAAACACCACAAAGTCAAAAATACAAACTTCAATATATTTTCCTCTTCACTAAAAATATGTATATATATATATAATATATTAAAAAAAAAAACACTTATTTAAATATAAAATCACACAATCACTCGTTATCTTGTTCCAGCTTGAAGTGTACCCCCTCGTGCCTCTGATTCACGTGAACCTTGAGATAGTACCTCCGAATGAACCCCTTTCCACACACAGTACAAACGTGGGGCCTCTCCTTCGTGTGTACCATCATATGGTAACTTAAATGCATTTTTCGTACAAAAGCCTTGCTGCACACGTTACAAACATAGGGTTTAAGCCCTGAATGAACTGCCTCATGCCTTTGTAAATCAATCTTCTTGATAAAGGCTTTATCACACTGCTTGCACTGAAACGGCCGCTCCCCTACTCACGAAAATAAAAATTACAACAAATAATTAGTCAAACGAAACGAATCAAACCTGAGTGGGTTTTGCGGTGCCGGTCCATGTGGCACTGAATCGCGAACGACTTGCTACAAATATCGCACGTGTAGGGTTTTTCCTTCGTGTGGGTCCGCATATGGTATGTCAACCCCGTTGGGTGGCTGAATGACTTGCCACAAATCGTGCACAAGTACGGTTTAACCCCACTATGAGTGCGTGAATGCAACTTCAAATTATTCGACGAAGGAAACCGCTTCTGGCACACTTGACATTCGTAGTTTTTTTCGCCGGTGTGTACCCGCCCGTGGCGCCTCAAACAAGACTGCGAATTGAACCCCTTCCCACATATACTACACAAAAAGTGACCTTTATACTGGTGGCGCTTCATGTGTGCTGCCAAAATATATTTGTTTTTGAACGACTTGTTGCACTGAAGGCAGAAAATTACATTGTCGAGTTCGTCGTCCTCTTGGGGTTTTATAGCGGCGGGTTTAGCTTGCACGGGTTGAGTGACAGTTTCGTGGGGTTCTGGCTGCATGTGAAGGGTTTGTACCGAGGTTTGTAGAAATTTGTTCGCTTGCTCACACTGGAGCTTGAATTTGTACACGACGACGGCTTTTTCGACGCAGTTGGAGCAGATGCTGTCGGGGTGGTTTTCGAGGAGCTGAAAGCGGGGGTTAGTTATTGGTGGTGGTGGTTTTGAGGTTAGTACCTGGATTTCCGACACGAAGTTTAGGACGTCTAAAATGGGGATTGTGTTGTTATCACAGTTGATGTAGGTGTTCTTGATTTTCATTATGTTTTCGTTGCCGTGTATGCACGTTCTGCATATAGTTGCTGCCTGAAGAAAGTCCATTTTTGCGATTTTTGGGTTTGTTGATGTTGGAAGTGTCAAGTTTGACAGATTTCAAATGGAAGGCGGGTGTATGTTGGGTTGCCTATACTCAAAGCGAGATTGAAATAATTGGCAGAGATTTTAAAGATTTCGAAGACTGAAGATTCCAAAAATGATGAAAACTAAAGATTTAGAGAATTCTGAAGATTATAAAGATTTCATAAATATTCCCAGATTAAATATTCCAAAGATCGTAAAGAATATGAAAATTCTGAAGATTATAAAGATTTCAGAGATTCCATAGATTCCATATATATTGGATATTTCGAGAGTCTAGATAATCCAGAAATCCTAAAGATTCTGGATATTCAAAGACAAGAGGTTCTAATGATTCTGAAGATTTCGGAGACTGAATATTCGCAAAATTCTGAAGATTTTGAAGATTATGAAGATTCCAAAGATTTCAGTAATCCCAAAGATTCTGGATATTCCGAGACTCGAGAGATTTGAATGATTTTAAAGAATATAAACACTTTGAATATTTCTATGGTTGAAGATCCTAAAGATTCTGAAGACTGAAGATTCCCAGGATTATAAATATTCTAAAGATTTCAGAGATTCCGGAAATTCCGAGGCTAAAGATTCCAGAAACAATAAATATTCTGAAGATATTGATATTCTATATATTCTACAAACTTTAGAGATTCTAGCGAATCTAGAGTCTAAATAATTCACAGATTCTAGCGTTTCTAGAGATTCTATAGATTTTGAAGTTTCTGAATATTTCGAAAACTGAAGGTCCCAAAAATTCTGAATTCTATATATTCTACAGATTTTAGAAATTTTAACGTATCTAGATTTTAAGTAGTCTATAGCTTCTAGAGATTCTGAAAATCCAAAAAATTCTGAAGACCAAAGATTCGCAGGATTATTAATATTTTCAAGATTTAATAGATTCTGGAAATTCCGAGATTACAGATACTAGAAACTTTAAATATTCTGCAGATTTTGAATATCCTATACATACTACAGATTTTAGAGATTCTAGGGGTTTTACATTCTAAAGGTCGTACAGATTCTGAATTTTCTGAATATTTCTAAAACTAAAGGTCTCAAAAATGCTGAAGATTACAAAGATTTCGAAGATTCAAAGATTCCAGAAATTTCGAAGATTTCGTATATTCCACAAATTTCAAAAGTTCCGAATATTCTGAAACTAAAGATTCCAAAAATTATGAAAACTAAAGAATTCGAACATTTCTAACTTTTATAGGGATTCCCAAGGTTCCAGAAATTCAAAGATTCCGGATATTCCGACACTAATGATTCCAGAGATTTTAACGAATACGACGATTCTGAATATTATAAAGATTCCAACGATATTCCGAGACTAGATTGTCCAAAGATTCTAAAGAAAATGAAAATTCTGAGTATTTCGAAGACTGAAGATTCCAAAAATTCTGAAGATTATAAAGATCTAAAGATTTCAGTTATTCAAGAAATACTAAAGATTCTGGATATTCAAACACAAGACATTCTAAAGATCCTGAATATTTCGAAGACTTCAAAATTTCCAAAAATTTTGAAGATTTTGAGCATATCGAAGATTTAGAAGATTGTAAAGGTTCCAAAGGTTTCAGAAATTTCGGTAATACCAAAGATTCTGGATATTCTGAGGCTCGAGAGATTTCAGTGATTTTAAAGAATTGAAGATTTTCAAGATTTCCAAGGCTGATGATCGTAAAAATTCTAAAGACTTGACTCTTTGAAGAGTCCCAGGATTATTATAAATAATCCAACGATTTCAAATATTCCAGAGATTCCCCAAATTCCGGAAATTCCGACGTTAAAAATTCCAGAAACAATAAATATTCTGATGATTTTAGAAATTCTAACGAATCTAGTCTAAATAATCTACATATTCTAGAGATTCTAGAGACTACAGAGGATCTTGAGATTCTAGCGACTCGAGATTCTACAGATTTTGAAGTTTCTGAATATTTCGAAAACTGAAGGTCCCAGAAATTCTGAAGACTTTAAAGATTCCCAGCATTCTAATGATTTCAAGATTCCAGAGATTCCACAAATTCTTAAAATTCCGGAAATTCCGTGACTAGAGATTCTAGAAAGTCTAAATATTCTGAAGATTTTGAATATTCTTTGTATTCTGGAGATTTTAGAAATTCTAACAAATCTAGATTCTAGAAATCCTACAGATTCTGAAATTTTTTAATATTTGGAAATTTGAAGATCCCAAAAATTCTGAACGCTACAAAGATTTCGAAGATTCCGGAAATTCCAAAAATTCCAAGACTACAGATTCTAGAAACTCTAAATATTCTGAAGATTTTGAATATTCTATATATTTTACAGATTTTAGAGATTCTAATGAATTTAGATTCCAAGTAATCTACAGATTCTAGAGACCATAGAGCTAAAAATTCTAGCGATTCGAGACGTTTTAGATTCTAAAGATCCTTCAGATTCTGAAGTTTCTGAATATTTCTAAAACTGAAGGTCCCAAAAATTTCAAAGATTTCGAAGGCTTAAAGATTCCAAAGACTTCAAAGATTCCAGAAATTCCAAAAATTCTGGAAATTCTGAGACGAGAGATTCTAAAAACTCAAAATATTATGAAGATTTTGAATTTTCTATATATTCTGTAGATTTTAGAAATTCTAACAAATCTAGATTCTAGAAATCCTACAGATTCTGAAATTTTTCAATATTTGGAAATTTGAAGATCCCAAAAATTCTGAAATTTCGGAAACTGGAGACTAGAGAATTAAAAGATTCTAAGGATTTTGAATTGTTTGAAGACTGAAAATCAAAAAGATTTTGAAGATTCCCAGGATTATTTATATTCTAAAGATTTCAAAGATTCCAGAAATTCCACAAATTCCAAAAATTCCGAGACTAGAGATTCTAGAAACTCTAAATATTCTGAATATTTTGAATATTCTACATATTCTATAGATTCCATGGAGCGTCTTGAGGTTTTAGAAATTCAAGAGATTTTAGATTCTAGAGATTCTATAGATTCTGAAATTTTTGAATATTTTGAAATTTGAAAATCCCAAAAATTCTGAAGGGTACAGAGATTTCGAAGGTTCAAAGATTCCAAAGATTTCAGAGATTCTAGAAAGTTCAAAAATTCCAAAGATTTCAAAGATTCCAGAAATTTCAAAGATTTCGGATATTGGGAGACTAGAGAATTAAAAGATTCTAAGGATTCTGAATACTTTGAAGACTGAAAATCCAAAAAATTCTGAAGACTGAAGATTCCCAGGATTATCAATATTCTAAAGATTTTAAAGATTCCAGAAATTCCTTTTGAATTTTCTATATATTCTGTAGATTTTAGAAATTCTAACAAATCTAGATTCTAGAAATCCTACAGATTCTGAAATTTTTGAATATTTGGAAATTTGAAGATCCCAAAAATTCTGAAGGCTACAAATAATCGAAGGTTCAAAGATTTCCGAAATGTCGGAAACTGGAGACTAGAGAATTGAAAGATTCTAAGGATTTTGAAGGTTCTCAGGATTATCGGTATTCTAAAGATTTTAAAGATTCCAGAAATTTCACAAATTCTAAAAATTCCGAGACTAGGGATTCTAGGAACTCTAAATATTCTGAACATTTTGAATATTCTATATATTCTACAGATTTTAGAAATTCCAACGAATCTAGATTCTAAGTAATCTACAGATTCTGAAATTTTTGAATATTTCGAAATTTGAAAATGCCGAAAATTCTGAAGGCTACAAAGATTTCGAAGGTTCAAAGATTCCAGAGGTTCTAGAAGGTTCAAAGATTTCAGAGATTCTAGAAATTCCAAAGATTTCGGATACTGGGAGACTAGAGAATTAAAAGATTCTAAGGATTCTGAATACTTTGAAGACTGAAAATCCAAAAAATTCTGAAGATTGAATATTCCCAGGATTATCAATATTCTAAAGATTTTAAAGATTCCAGAAATTCCTTTTGAATTTTCTATATATTCTGTAGATTTTAGAAATTCTAACAAATCTAGATTCTAGAAATCCTACAGATTCTGAATTTTTGAATATTTGGAAACTTGAAAATCCCAAAAATTCTGAAATTTCGGAAACTGGAGACTAGAGAATTAAAAGATTCTAAGAATTTTGAATTCTTTGAAGACTGAAAATCAAAAAATTCTGAAGATTTTGAAGATTCCCAAGATTATCAATATTCTAAAGATTTCAAAGATTCCAGAAATTCCACAAATTCCAAAAATTCCGAGACTAGAAATTCTAGAAACTCTAAATATTCTAAACATTTTGAATATTCTACATATTCTACAGATTTTAGAAATTCCAACGAATCTAGATTCAATCTACAATCTACAGATTCCATGGAGCGTCTTGAGGTTTTAGAAATTCAAGAGATTTTAGATTCTAGAGATTCTACAGATTCTGAAATTTTTGAATATTTCGAAATTTGAAAATCCCAAAAATTCTGAAGGGTACAGAGATTTCGAAGGTTCAAAGATTTCAGAGATTTTAGAAAGTTCAACGATTCCAGAAATTCAAAAATTTCGAATATTGGGAGATTGGAGAATTAAAAGATTCTAAGGATTCTGAATACTTTGAAGACTGAAAATCCAAAAAATTCTGAAGACTGAAGATTCCCAGGATTATCAATATTCTAAAGATTTTAAAGATTCCAGAAATTCCTTTTGAATTTTCTATATATTCTCTAGATTTTAGAAATTCTAACAAATCTAGATTCTTGAATTCCTACAGATTCTGAATTTTTTGAATATTTGGAAATTTGAAGATCCCAAAAATTTGAAGATTACAAATATTTCGAAGGTTCAACGATTTCCGAAATTTCGGAAACTGGAGACTAGAGAATTAAAAGATTCTAAGGATTTTGAATTCTTTGAAGACTGAAAATCAAAAAATTCTGAAGATTTTGAAGATTCTCAAGATTATCAATATTCTAAAGATTTCAAAGATTCCAGAAATTCCAAAAATTCCGAGACTAGAGATTCTAGAAACTGAATATTCTGAACATTTTGAATATTCTATATATTCTACAGATTTTAGAAATTCCAACGAATCTAGATTCAATCTACAATCTACAGATTCCATGGAGCGTCTTGAGGTTTTAGAAATTCAAGAGATTTTAGATTCTAGAGATTCTACAGATTCTGAAATTTTTGAATATTTCGAAATTTGAAAATCCCAAAAATTCTGAAGGGTACAGAGATTTCGAAGGTTCAAAGATTCCAAAGATTTCAGAGATTCTAGAAAGTTCAAAGATTACAGAAATTTCAAAGATTTCGGATATTGGGAGACTAGAGAATTAAACGATTAGGATTCTGAATACTTTGAAGACTGAAAATCCAAAAAATTCTGAAGACTGAAGATTCCCAGGATTATCAATATTCTAAAGATTTTAAAGATTCCAGAAATTCCTTTTGAATTTTCTATATATTCTGTAGATTTTAGAAATTCTAACAAATCTAGATTCTAGAAATCCTACAGATTCTGAAATTTTTGAATATTTGGAAATTTGAAGATCCCAAAAATTCTGAAGGCTACAAATAATCGAAGGTTCAAAGATTTCCGAAATGTCGGAAACTGGAGACTAGAGAATTGAAAGATTCTAAGGATTTTGAAGATTCTCGGGATTATCGGTATTCTAAAGATTTTAAAGATTCCAGAAATTTCACAAATTCTAAAAATTCCGAGACTAGGGATTCTAGGAACTCTAAATATTCTGAACATTTTGAATATTCTATATATTCTACAGATTTTAGAAATTCCAACGAATCTAGATTCTAAGTAATCTACAGATTCTGAAATTTTTGAATATTTCGAAATTTGAAAATGCCGAAAATTCTGAAGGCTACAAAGATTTCGAAGGTTCAAAGATTCCAGAGGTTCTAGAAGGTTCAAAGATTCCAGAGGTTCTAGAAGGTTCAAAGATTTCAGAGATTCTAGAAATTCCAAAGATTTCGGATACTGGGAGACTAGAGAATTAAAAGATTCTAAGGATTCTGAATACTTTGAAGACTGAAAATCCAAAAAATGGCGAAGACTGAAGATTCCCAGGATTATCAATATTCTAAAGATTTTAAAGATTCCAGAAATTCCTTTTGAATTTTCTATATATTCTGTAAATTTTAGAAATTTTAACAAATCTAGATTCTAGACATCCTACAGATTCTGAAATTTTTGAATATTTGGAAATTTGAAGATCCTAAAAATTGTAAAGGCTACAAATATTTCAAAGATTTCCGAAATTTCGGAAACTGGAGACTAGAGAATTAAAAGATTCTAATGATTTTGAAGACTCTCAGGATTATCGGTATTCTAAAGATTTTAAAAATTCCAGAAATTTCACAAATCCCAAAAATTCCGGGACTAGAGATTCTAGGAACTCTAAATATTCTGAATATTTTGAATATTCTATATATTCTACAGATTTTAGAAATTCCAACGAATCTAGATTCTAAGTAATCTACAGATTCTGAAATTTTTGAATATTTCGAAATTTGAAAATGCCGAAAATTCTGAAGGCTACAAAGATTTCGAAGGCTCAAAGATTCCAGAGGTGCTAGAAGGTTCAAAGATTCCACAGATTCTAGAAATTCCAAAGATTTCGGATACTGGGAGACTAGAGAATTAAAAGATTCTAAGGATTCTGAATACTTTGAAGACTGAAAATCCAAAAAATTCTGAAGACTGAATATTCCCAGGATTATCAATATTCTAAAGATTTTAAAGATTCCAGAAATTCCTTTTGAATTTTCTATATATTCTGTAGATTTTAGAAATTCTAACAAATCTAGATTCTAGAAATCCTACAGATTCTGAATTTTTGAATATTTGGAAACTTGAAGATCCCAAAAATTCTGAAATTTCGGAAACTGGAGACTAGAGAATTAAAAGATTCTAAGAATTTTGAATTCTTTCCAAAAATTCCGAGACTAGAGATTCTAGAACCTGAATATTCTGAACATTTTGAATATTCTACATATTCTACAGATTTTAGAAATTCCAACGAATCTAGATTCAATCTACAATCTACAGATTCCATGGAGCGTCTTGAGGTTTTAGAAATTCAAGAGATTTTAGATTCTAGAGATTCTACAGATTCTGAAATTTTTGAATATTTCGAAATTTGAAAATCCCAAAAATTCTGAAGGGTACAGAGATTTCGAAGGTTCAAAGATTTCAGAGATTCTAGAAAGTTCAACGATTCCAGAAATTCAAAGATTTCGAATATTGGGAGACTGGAGAATTAAAAGATTCTAAGGATTCTGAATACTTTGAAGACTGAAAATCCAAAAAATTCTGAAGACTGAAGATTCCCAGGATTAAAAATATTCTAAAGATTTTAAAGATTCCAGAAATTCCTTTTGAATTTTCTATATATTCTCTAGATTTTAGAAATTCTAACAAATCTAGATTCTTGAATTCCTACAGATTCTGAATTTTTTGAATATTTGGAAATTTGAAGATCCCAAAAATTCTGAAGGTTACAAATATTTCGAAGGTTCAAAGATTTCCGAAATTCCGGAAACTGGAGACTAGAGAATTAAAAGATTCTAAGGATTTTGAAGATTCTCAGGATTATTGGTATTCCAAAGATTTTAAAGATTCCAGAAATTTCACAAATTCCAAAAATTCCGAGACTAGAGATTCTAGGAACTCTAAATATTCTGAACATTTTGAATATTCTATATATTCTACAGATTTTAGAAATTCCAACGAATCTAGATTCTAAGTAATCTACAGATTCTTGAGGTTTTAGAAATTCAAGAAATTTTAGATTCCAGAGATTCTACAGATTCTGAATTTTTTAAATATTTCTAAACTTGAAAATCCCGAAAATTCTGAAGGCTACAAAGATTTCGAAGGTTCAAAGATTCCAGAGATTCTAGAAGGAGACTAGAGAATTTCAATCAACATTGTAAAGATTTCAAAGATTCCAGAAATTCCAAAAATTCCGGAAATTCCGAGATTAGAGATTCTAAATATTCTGAAGATTTTGAATATTCTATATATTTTATAGATTTTAGAGTTTTTAGGTTCCACGTAATCTACAGATTCTAGAGAGCTTAGAACTTGAGATTCTAGCGATTCGAAGGTTTTAGATTCTAAAGATCCTACAGATTCTGAAGTTTCTGAATATTTCGAAAACTTCTGAAGATTACAAAGACTTCAGATATTCGGAGACTAGAAATCCAAAGATTTTAAAAATTTTGAATATTTCAAAGACCGAAGATCACAAAAATTCTGAAGAATTTGAAGATTACCAAGACTCTAGAGATTCCACAAATTTCAAAAATTTTAAATATTCTGAAACTCTAAAAATTCCAAAGACCCGAAGACTGGAGATTCCAAAATTATGAAAGCCAAAGAATTTGAAAATTCTAAATTTTATAGGGATTCCAGAAATTCCAAAAATTCCGGATATTTCGACACTAGTGATTCCAGAGATTTTAACAAATATGAAGATTCTGAAAATTTTGAAGGCTGAAGGTCACAAAAATTCAGTCCACTGTATTCTAAATAACGTTATATACCAGTTTTTATTTGCAGCATTATAAAACCTTAAACATGTTGCCAACCTGACCAAAAAAATCACAGCCACTTGGTATTTACCAACATGATTCATAAACACATTATTAATTAACAAATAAAACGTCTTTATATATTAAAAAATCCTTAAATGTTGGAGACCAAAGATTTACAATAATAAATATAAAAGGAAAAACTGAATCGTTTTATTTTATTGTATTTCAGGCGTCTAATTCCTCAGACCAATTTTTGAGTATTGATTTTATCAAAAAGGTCATAACAGATTGACAGGTGCCTGTATTACCGGCACAAAGAACGAAGAAGAAATACCAATTATTACAATATAATGAAATAGTAGTGGATTAAGTTGGTTCTTACACTGTTTATTTATCTCTTTAAACACCACTACAACCGACACTTAACAGGTTTGTTGCATTTTTAACATTAGTGAAAACCCTAACCTCACATTTTGCCAAGAGACACTCCAAAGAACCCCAAAATGCTGCTGCGATTTTACGATTGTGCCACCAATATCGAGCCATTCACGTGCAAACAATGCCCAAAGTTTCAAACCCACTGTTTGACAACCTTACAACGCCACAAAAAAGACCACAATATAACCCCCGAAGACTACATCATCAAACAATGTGAGAAATGTCTGTTCCAAACCTACTCGAAATATCTACTACTCAGACACGCTTTCTTCGACAAGTGTGCCCCCCACAATAACGCTCAAACCCCCCCAGACCCTCCAATCACTTGGTTCCACTGTAACCATTGCCCATTAAAATTCAAACGCAAAACCTACATGCAAAACCACGTCCGCAACTGCCACCGCAAACCTGAAGACATCAAGTGGTTCCACTGTGAACAATGCCCCTCGAGATTCAAGAAACACTTCAACCTGAGAGTCCACAGAGCGACGCATTTACCCGACGATCAAATTCAGTGGCTGCAATGTGACCATTGCACTTCGAAATTCAAAAACGATCGATATTTAAAACGGCACAGAAGAACGATGCATTTCGACAAAATCAAGGACGAAAAACCCGTGAAAAAGGAAAAGGTGCAAAGGCCGAAGAAACCTGTCGTGGAAATGCTTCAGTGCGACTTCTGTCCGGCTAAATATAGAACGCAATCGTTTTTGGAGAATCACTTCAAGGTCAAACATTTATCGGACGTGGATATGCCGTGGCTGCAATGTGAACTGTGCACACGAAAATTCAAGCGGAAGTGTGACTTGAGCAACCACGTCGTGGGTAAACACATACCCAAAGATCAGAAATGGTTTCACTGTGACCAGTGCGAGGCCAGATACAGAACGAAAGAACTTTTGGATAAGCACGTCGTTGACAAGCATTTGTCAAAACAGGAGGGCTACTTGTTTGAGTGTGAACATTGTTCGTATAAATTTTGGCGCAAGGGGCGGCTGCTCAACCACATTAAAGTGAAACATTTGGGTAAAAATTAATTTATTTATTGTATGTGAATTGTATAATGTGTAATAAATTAGTTTAACCGATTTATCCCCTATTCACAAAATGTTTTACAAAAATATGCCTCTGCAACAACTTCTTCAGCTTGAACCTCCCCCCACACTCGTAACACTCAAACCACTCGATTTCTCCCTCCCCCAAATGTCTCGCGATCACGTGATCCCTCAACCGACACTTCCGCTTGAATTTCGCCGCGCACTGCTCACATTTAAACCATCGAATTTCATCCTCCGGCAAGTGCAGCGCTTCCACGTGCTTCCGCAGCAGCGACTTCTGCTTAAACCTGGACGCGCACTGCTCACACTGAAACCACTGAATTTCGTCGCCCGATAAATGCACCAGTTTCACGTGCTGTTTTAAATACCTCTCCTCTTTGAATTTAGACGCGCATTGGGCGCATTCGAGCCATTGAATATTGTCGCTCGGTGAATGTCTAGCGGTCACGTGTCTCTGTAATAAGTATTTCTGGTTGAATCGAGACGCGCAGTGGTCACATTGAAACCAGTGAATATTATCGCTGGGTAAATGTTTAGCGGCGTGGATTCTCAAGCTGGTTTTCCACTTGAATTTAGCGTCACACTCTTTACACTGAAACCACTGAGTTTCACCGTCACTGTGGATCGCCGCTACGTGATTTTTGAGTGCGAATTTTCGTTTGAATTTTGACGTGCAGTGGTCACATTGGAACCACTGAATTTTATCGTCGGGTAAATGTCGCGCGACGATGTGGTTTTTGAGGTCGAAGTTTCGTTTGAATTTTGCGGTGCAGTGGTCACAGGTGAGCCAACGAATGTTGGCTTCCGGTAAATGTCGACTTCTCATGTGGGTTTTGAGCAGGAAGTTTTGTTTGAATTTGGCCGGGCATTGGGCACATTGATGCCACTGAATTTTATCTTCGGGTAAGTGCTTTATTATCACGTGGTTTTTCAAGTCGGAGTTCCATTTGAACGTGGATTCGCAGTGCGGGCACTTGAATCGGCGGATTTCGTCTTCGGGGGAGTGTTTTAGTGAAACGTGTTTGCGTAATGCGGGTTTTGACTGGAATTTGGATGGGCATTGGTCACACTGGAAACACTGATGGGTTTTATCCTGGTGTTTGGCTTTAAAGTGGATTTTTAAGTAGCTTTTGTGCTTGAATTTTGACGTGCAGTGGTCACAGTGATGCCACTGGATTTCGTCGGGGTTGGAGTGGCGGTAGTGGAGGTGTTTTTGTAAGTATCTTTTGGTCTTGAATTTGGATGGGCAATAGTCACATCGGAACCAGTTAAACTGATTTACGTTGTACGAAGCACAGTGGCCGTAGAAACTGTGTCGCAGCAATAAATATTTCGAGTGAGTTTCGAAAATACACTTTTCACACTTTTTGGTGTCTTCTTCTGTTATTTTATGGTGGTGGCGTTTGTGTTGTTGGAGATATAGTAGGCAGTGGGTTTGAAAATTTGGGCACTTTTTGCACTTGAAGGGTTCGATGTCGTTGGCACAATCAAACAAAATATTGTCCATTTTTGAGTTACTTCGAAATTGAGGTTAGATTGCCACCAACATTAAAAATGTCTATGAAGCGCGATTTTATTTTACTGAGACGTAGTGAAAATTAATATGTTTCAATTCCGCCTGCGATAAATTAATAAATAAATTTGTTTGAACACACCGTATGACAACTTTGAGATAAGTGGCTATATTGATTCGAAGGTTATACAACCAGCAATATCGAGACGACAGCCTGTTTTAAATTTACCGCCTTTGCAGTATCGTATTCTATCCTATAGGTGGCGCTAGTGTGCCTTTTTCGGTAAAGTTTTTCGGTTACGAAAAAATTTAATTCGAATGACAGATTTAAACAGCAGAAATATTTTCTTTGGTTTGTTTGTATAGAAGTCGAACGTACCCTAACCTCACTTTTCTGGAGGACTATGGCGGCATAATGTTTATTAATTTAAATTATTGTTAGGTTGAGTGGGCGGATAAAATTAATATAATTAATTAATATAAAATATAAGAACCACCCACCCACCCTGTCTCAATTGTGATGATTTTTTTATCGTCTAGTTTTTTTTTTTAGAATTCAAATGCAAGTCTTATTATTTCTCTACAAGAAATTACCATGTAAGCCACGTTTTTGAGTATCGTGTTATTAAAAAAAAAAAATTAGGTATATTAAGAAAAAAATTAAAGCCAAAGATTAAACCCCACCCATCCCTGTCCTGATCTAAATAGTAATGAAGAGTTTTCATTCGTTGGTAGACCTAGGGGCGGAGCCTAAGTGCAAAATCCATGTTTCCTGATAAAAATTTACCATTCTAAACGTGTTTAAGTTTCTAAGAATAAAAAAAGTCATCACAATTGAGAAGGGGCGGGTGGGCGGGCAGACTTCTTTCCACAACATGAAAGTTAAACATGTTCAAAATGGAAATAATATTTTTTTGCATAATTGCAAAATCCATATTTCCTTGCAAAAGTGTACTGTTTGAACCATGTTCTAAGTACTTGTTGTGCAAAGATGGCTGCCTATACTAAGAAAAAATGGGTAGAATTTTAATCACTTTAATCTTATTTTTCAAAAGTTTGGGATACTTTCGAACAAAATGCAAATTTAGAACAATTCTTAACATTTTAAAATTTTCTGTAAATTCTATAAAATCTGTCCAATTGTGATGATTTTTTTATGGTCTAGTTTTTTTTTTAGAATTTAAATGTAAAAGTCTTATTATGTCTCTATAAGAAATTACCATGTAAGCCACGTTTTTGAGAATCGTGTTATTAAAAAAAAAAAAAATTAGGTATATTAAGAAAAAAATTAAAGCCAAAGATTAAGCCCCACCCATCCTTGTCCTTTAGGAAGTGGAGAAATGGGAATATAAAAAAATAGATTAATTGAGAAATCCGAAAACTAAAAATTCAGGAACGTCAAAATTTGAAAAATAAAAAAATATTGAAGAACTGAAAAATCGAAAAATCTAAAATTTAAAACATTGAAAAGTTAAAATATCCTAAAACTGAAAATTGGAGAAATCCAAACATCAAAAAATAAAAAAAAAAATTCTAAAATTTAAAAATCGAAAAACTGAAAAATCAACGAATCGAAACATCGAAAAATCGAGAAACCGAAAAGCAAAAAATCGAAAAACCAACAAATCGAAAAATCGAAACATTGTAAAATTCAAAAAATGAGACATCGAGAAATCTAAAAATCAAAAGACAAAAAATCGTGAAGTTGAAAAATCAAAAAATTGAGAAACCGAAATAGGCCAAAATCGAAAAATCGAGAACTTAAATATGGAAAAATTGATAAAGCGAGAGATTGAATAATCAAAACATCGAAACATCCGAATCTCAATAAATTGAGATCTCAAAAAATTTAAAAATATGGAAATTTAAAAAATTAAAATATAGAACTGGAAACTCCAGAAACCGAAAAATCTAGAAATTAAAATATGGAAAAGTTGAAAAATTGAGAAATTGAAATAAAAAACAAAAAACTGAAAATCCAAAAATAAAAAATAGAAAAATCTAGAAGTCGAAAAATGAAAGAATCGAAGTGTTGAAAAATATCAAAACTGAAAAAAACATCCAAAAATTGAGAAATCGACAAACCAATAAAGCGAAGTCGAAAAATCGAAGAATTGAAGAACTGAAAAATCGAAACTTTGAGAAGTGGGAAAATCAAAAATAGATTAATTGAGAAATCAGAAAACTGAAAATTTAACGTAAACATTTGAAAAATTGAAAAATTTAAATACTGAAGAACTGAAAAGTCAAAAAATCGAGAAATCGAAAAAACTAAAACTTAAAACAATGAATAATTAAAATTTCGCAAAATTTGAAAAATCGAGGCATTGAAAAATTGGAAAATCCAGAAATTGAAAAGCTCAAAAGAAAAAAATCGAAAAACCGAGAAATCCAAAAATCAAAACATCGAAAAATTAAAAAACTGAGACTTCGAGAAATCGAAAAATCGAAGAATCGAGAAATTGAGGAGTCGGAAGCCGAAAAGGAGAGTTAAAAATTGAAAAATTGAGAAATTGAACAATCAAAACAACGAAACATCTGAATTCGATAAATTGAGAAATTAAAAAATTGAATAATCGAAAAATTTTAAAAAAGAAAAACTGGAAAATCGAAAATTAAAATTCAAAAAATCGAAAAATTGAAAAATTGAAATATAGGAGAACTGAAAACTCGAGATATCGAAAAACCTAGAATTTTAAAAAATGAAATATTAAAACATCGAAAAGTTTAAAAATTGAGAAATCAAAGCATTAAACAGTCGCAGAATTGAAAAATCTAAAGTTTACAATAAATTGAAAATCCAAAAAGTAAAAAATCGAGAAATCAAAAAAAATCCATCAATTCAAAAATCGAAAAGTCGAAAAATTGAAATATTGAAAAATCTCATAACTGAAAGAAATATTCAAAAAATTGAGAAATTAAAAAGTCGGAAAACTGAGAAATCGAAAATCTAAAAAAGCAAAATTGAAAAATCGTAATCTTAAAAAATCGAAAAATTGAAGATGTGAAAAAACGAAACTTTAGGAAGTCCAGAAATGGACAAATAAAAAAAATACTTTAGAAATCAGCAAACTGAAAATTTAGAAACGTGAAAATTTGAAAAATCGAAATATTTAAAAACCGTAAAATTGAAGAGGACAAAAATTGAGAAATCGTATTGTGGCGAGCAAGTTGCCTGCGCTATAGGCAACCAACCGTACGCCTGCAAAGAACACCGCTAATTGGCTGGCGTACCACGCAGAAGCGAAAACGAGAAGCGAGACTAGAAAAGGCCTGATGGAAGCACAACTCGCTCTCTCCGCCATCGTCCACAGAAGCAGCAAGATCACAAGAACACCACGCTCCTCGCCGCCGCAGAGTTCCAACACAACCACGTTGCTTAAATGTCATTCGTTGTAAATATGTGTACATAAATAAATCCATACCAAAAACATCCACAGTATCATTGAAACATCGAAAGATTGAGAAATCGAAAAATAAAAAAATCAAGAAATAGAAAATTTAAAGAATGGAGGAATCGGAAAAGCCCAAAATTGAAATATTGAAAAATTGAGACATTTAAAATTGAAAAATCGGATAAATCAAAAATCGAAACATCGAAAAATCGAGAAACCGAAAAGCAAAAAATCGAAAAACCAACAAATCGAAACATTGTAAAATTGAAAAAATGAGACATCGAGAAATCTAAAAATCAAAAGACAAAAAATCGAGGAGTCGAAAAATCGAGAAGTCGAAAAATCAAAAAATTGAGAAACCGAAATAGGCCAAAATCGAAAAATCGAGGACTTAAATATGGAAAAATTGATAAAGCGAGAGATTGAATAATCAAAACATCGAAACATCCGAATCTCAATAAATTGAGATCTCAAAAAATTTAAAAATATGGAAATTTAAAAAATTAAAATATAGAACTGGAAACTCGAGAAACCGCAAAATCTAGAAATTTAAAAATTAAAATATGGAAAAGTTGAAAAATTGAGAAATTGAAATAAAAAACAAAAAACTGAAAATCCAAAAATAAAAAATAGAAAAATCTAGAAGTCGAAAAATGAAAGAATCGAAGTATTGAAAAATATCAAAACTGAAAGAAATATCCAAAAATTGAGAAATCGACAAACCAATAAAGCGAAGTCGAAAAATCGAAGAATTGAAAAACTGAAAAATCGAAACTTTGAGAAGTGGGAAAATCAAAAATAGATTAATTGAGAAATCAGAAAACTGAAAATTTAACGTAAAAATTTGAAAAATTGAAAAATTTAAATACTGGAGAACTGAAAAGTCAAAAAATCGAGAAATCGAAAAAACTAAAATTTAAAACAATGAATAATTAAAATTTCGCAAAATTGAAGAATCGACAAATCCAATTCAATTTGAAAAATTGAAAAATCGAGGCATTGAAAAATTGGAAAATCCAGAAATTGAAAAGCTCAAAAGAAAAAAATCGAAAAACCGAGAAATCCAAAAATCAAAACATCGAAAAATTCAAAAACTGAGACTTCGAGAAATCGCAAAATCGAAGGATCGAGAAATTGAGGAGTCGGAAGCCGAAAAGGAAAGTTAAAAATTGAAAAATTGAGAAATTGAACAATCAAAACAACGAAACATCTGAATTCGATAAATTGAGAAATTAAAAAATTGAATAATCGAAAAATTTTAAAAAAGAAAAACTGGAAAATCTAAAATTAAAATATCGAAAAATTGAAATATAGAAGAACTGAAAACTCGAGATGTCGAAAAACCTAGAATTTTAAAAAATGAAATATTAAAACATCGAAAAGTTTAAAAATTGAGAAATCAAAGCATTAAACAGTCGCAGAATTGAAAAATCTAAAGTTTACAATAAATTGAAAATCCAAAAAGTAAAAAATCGAGAAATCAAAAAAAAAATATATCAATTCAAAAATCGAAAAGTCGAAAAATTGAAAAATCTCATAACTGAAAGAAATATTCAAAAAATTGAGAAATTAAAAAATTGGAAAATTGAGAAATCGAAAATCTAAAAAAGCAAAATTGAAAAATCGTAATCTTAAAAAATCGAAAAATTGAAGGATTGAAGATGTGAAAAAACGAAACTTTAGGAAATCCAGAAATGGACAAATAAAAAAAATACTTTAGAAATCGGCAAACTGAAAATTTAGAAACGTGAAAATTTGAAAAATCGAAATATTTAAAAACCGTAAAATTGAAGAGGACAAAAATTGAGAAATCGTATCATTGAAACATCGAAAGATTGAGAAATCGAAAAATAAAAAAATCAAGAAATAGAAAATTTAAAGAATGGAGGAATCGGAAAAGCCCAAAATTGAAATATTGAAAAATTGAGACATTTAAAGTTGAAAAATCGAGAAATCGACAAGCCGAAAAATCGCAATAGCGTATTTAGGTATAAATCACAAGATCAGACTATTCTACTTTTTAAAATTTAAATAACATTATAAATTGGAAAATGTTGATTTTTTTTCCAAAAATCTTGACGTCTAAGGTGAAAACTCGACACGGATGCATAAACCGTAAACGGGGCGAATTTACAATTTTACTATTGTAAAATTTGGAGATTGCGTCATTTCATTGTTCGTGACAAATTTTGGAGAGTGTAATTTGATAATACAATTTGAAATGTAAATTTTGTCATTCGGGAACATTATGTATTAAATCGTTAAGATGTTCAAGAACTTTGTTCACTTATTCGTTGTAAAGTCCAATGGTCGAAATGGGTTAGTTCTTCGTAGTGGATGTGTATCAGATCAACTCTAACGAATATCGGTTTATAGATAAATCGCTTAAAGCCGATATTGGCCTGAGTGTGCTTTGGTCTGTAGATCAAACAAGTTCTCGGGCCACGAAAAATTGCATGTGGAGGGAGACTTCGGATTACAAATCGTGTCAAGAAAGACATATTTGGGAGAGATGGATTTTCAGGTGCTTGACTAGCGGTAATTTTAAATTGTTTGCTGTCGTTCGCGAAATGAAGAACACAATTTCATTAAAATGATAATTATAAAATTATCATAATCACTATTGGTATTAATTAACACAAAACGGCGCGCAAGTTATCAGTTGATTTCGTTAATAAATTCATAGAAACCTATATGGGATTTTTTCATGCCTTAGAAAATTAAAAAGTAAAAAATACAATAACAAAAATTTTAAAATGCGGTTATAATTATACCAGTTTAAAAACCCTTGGAAAGTTTCTGTCAGTCTTCAGATATAGTCAAATAAAAATATGCGTCAAATTCATTTAAATTCAATTCTTTCGTATCACGTTACAACGCGTTGCTTCATATTTTTTATGTTAAGTATATTTTCATATTTTGTACACATTACTGTTTACGGAACAATGTTAATTATGGATTTATGGATAACTCCTCGTATAAGAGCAGAGTGAAGGGTGTTTGCCTTTGCTAATGTTTGATGGCGCCATCTGATGTAGAGTAAAATAAACCTAAAACGTTGGCTCACTGTAGTGAAAATGCGCGTTGACGAAAAATTTGTCCCACGCCCCCTGGATTCCTTGTCCTAAAGCTCACTATTTAGGCGAAGTAAAATTTGTATTAGGTTGTCCAACTATAATATACTTAAACAATGATTTTATATTGGCAGGCAATTGAAAAATAGGCAAAAAGGTAAAATTAACTCCACCCACCTCCGGATCTGTATTTCATTGGCCTATTTTATTTAATATAAGAGATACACTGATAAACATTGAAATCTTGACAAAAAGGTAAAAGCCACCGCTTATGAATTAGGTTAAAAAAAATTCAAAGTCGCCCCGCCCACCCACCCGGTTTTCTTTTTGGTCACTCATTTATTGGACGAAAAGTGCATTTTATATTGAACAACAGTAACAATATACCTGTCCTGGAACTTCACTTACCTTCCATGATCATAACTTAAAAATCAGTTTACTTACTTACATTTTCAATTAACACGGTTCCAACTCGGAAAACGATCATGTATTGATTCCGACCATGCAAACCTTCGAAATTAATACTTACTCATGATCACTGAAATTCCATTTTTACGTCAAAAAATTTTGAAAATTTTGCTATGCAACATATACATAAGGGCAATTTTCGTATTCAATATTTAGATTTTTCTGATTTTATGCCTCTTTTTCTAAACAAAAATGATTAATGAAAACATTATCAAGAATCTCTCTCTTCCTATTACAGAAAATGATTAATCGAAAAAATACTTAAATCGACAATTAAATTTTTACAATAATGAGTAATTAATGATGACAAGAGATCAAGAAGTAAAACTATGAAACGACGAAAATGTAAAAATAATTTAATTCCACAAATATAAACTATAAAAAATATATCTTTAATTCCACAAATATAACGTTCACTTATTTCTTTTCTTCGCCCCTTTCCGCTCGTCCTCACAATCCGACTTCTGTCTGCCACTGCCTGCTTTCCGAGACGTACTGGAACTCCTCAGTCGGTCAGTTAATAACTTGGTTCTAATCGCCAAATTATTATCTCTTGCGTCACTAGACGTCGAAGGTTCCTTAACCCCTGGTTCCTTAAAAACAGGAATTTCGGACTTGGACTTTTTTGGAGATTTGTTGGTGTAAATTCCTATGTTAGACGGCCCTGGCGTTTTAGCCTCGGAAGGTATACTTTTCGGGAGCGGAAGTTTCAGGTATACCGTTTCGTCTGCATAGTCGGCTGAATTGAATTTCAAAGCCTTGGGACGAACCTTCTTGGCTGAGTAGGTTTTCGGCAGAGGACGAGTCGGTGGCAGAGCGACTTCAGTACCCTGAGGAGGTGTCTTGGTGTCGGGTTCGCCTTTCCTTTCTGGAGTAACGACACGTGGACACTTCTCTTCTACGTTCATTTTCCGCGATAGAATATTCAATCTTTGTAATAGTACTTCGTTGTAGAGGTGAATAAATTGTAATTTAAACGGTTCAATTTCGGCTACGAGTTTCTTACTTAAGTTTGCACCTTCCTTGAGTTTCTTCTGTCTGATTAAAAAATATGCGTATTCTACTAACATAAAAAAGTATATCCCAGCGAACTTCTCTCGTAGTGCTGGTACTAAATCCGCTGATATCTTCTTTGCGGTTTTCTTCACATAAACACTTTCTCTGTGTGTGATATAATCGTAGATTTTAATACACCCCGAGAAAAAATCTTTACACACATAAAAACTCTCCTCGTGTTGATGCAACAAAGCATTTAGAAGGGTCTGCTTCAAAACGAACTCCTGGTACTCAAAACACGTACAATAAAAACATTCGCAGTCTTCGTCATGACTAAGGAAAAACGGGAGTTTGAAAGACTCGACTTTGAAACAAGGAGAACCGCTGGACGTGTAGCCTACGTTCTTCGGAACGTCTAAAACCATCTCTGTAAAGTCTTCTACTAAAATGTCCACCTCTTCTTTCTTTTGTGGTGGTGGTACCGGTAGGTTCGCCACACTCTTACTTTTATTAAGACTCAAAATATCCCTGAAATCTGTAAGTTTGACACGACAATCATTCAAACGACCAGTCGCAATATCGGCGTGTGCTAGATAGTACAAGAGTGCGGCAGTACGCAACGGTAGTACCATTTTCTGAGCAATGACAACGGCATCTTTAGCATAACAACGCACTTCTCGAGGTTGACGCAAATCATGGTACATTTTTACGATGTTTTCGTAAACTTCGAAAAATATACGCATTTCGTACGAGGACATGGTTGAACTTTCGTTGTAGTACGTAGTGGCACAGTTGTTGGCTTGGTGGATTTTCACTAGGTAGTACTCTTTGTGATCCGGGACGTTGTATTCACATGGCAATGAGAGAAACTTGTGGTGTAAAAGGTGAATTCGGGCTTGCATTATATTAGTACTTTGGTGGTTCTGGTGGTACTGCATAGCTTTTTTAAATGAAAGGTACGCCTTTTTGAAATCAACATATAAATAAGCTTCCGCTTTTGAAAGATAATAAACAATGAGCGCCTCGTAGTTGTTCGTTGTTAAAGTACTAACACCCTTCTCGACTTCGACTGTCAAGTTTTGGAGGAGGGGTTTACGGATGTCTCCTAGTTCTATAATGAAACCTGTGGCTTCTAACTTGTATAAAGGGGAGTCTACACTTTGGGCGACCTTCAAGGCTAGCTGCCATGCAAGTAGCGACTTAGTTGTGTGTCCGTGTAAACAATATTCGTGCCCTATGTTCGACAAGAGTTTATAGAATCTCTCTCTATCGTAATCATCGTTGTTTTTCTCAATCCACTTCTGACTCAACTCAAGTGACTTATTCAATTCCTCCATCATCTTAGTATAGCGACTTAACTTAAGACTATGATACGAAGACACAAGGTCGCATTCTTCGTCAGGATCAGGCGGAACGGCAGTCGCTTCAGCTGTTTTCGTTAAATTCATAGTCTTTTCCATTTCGTCGCAGTTCTTCACAATAACATCCTTCACTTGATACTTATGTTGGAGAAAATACAAATGAGCCAATAATAAATCTTTTGTCGAAATTTTGCCCCCCTCAACTCGTTTAATAGTCCCTTGCAAAAGCCTGGGAATAGTTTCATGAACCATCAAATCTCCGTCACCCCAAATCTCCACAAAAACCTCAGCGGTGAACTGCGCCGATGCGATTTGACTCAACTCCCCAAAAACCGTACTCATAGGTATTTTACTCTTCCATTTCGCGTTATACTGTTTTAATTCGTAATGCAAAAGCTCAATTTTGCGTTTGGTAGTCAAACCAAGCCCCGATTTCGGTATATAAGTCTCTAATTCCGTTTGATATTTACCACAAACCGAAACAAGTGTTAGTAGTTGTAACTCTGAATTTCCCTCAATCGACTTTTCGCGACTCACTACTTTGGTTTTAATCCATCTGTTTATCTCCTTTTTGGGAGAGTCGCTGCATATAATTGCAAGCGAACTAAGCAGGAGACTTTTTTCGAAATCTTGACTCTCGAAGTGGGCATTTGCGATACAACTAAAGGCGGAAACGAGGTACGTCCTATCTATTATTTTTGGTTCGAAACCTTCCAACTTGAGAAGGGTTCGTACGAATTTTTGTAAATATAGCATAAGCATTTCAGTCTCGTTTTTTTGGTATAAATGGGTTCCAATCGAGTATAGGTGTACACCGACGTCGTACCAGTGTTTTTCCCACTTTTCGCACTTGTTGGATTTGAGGGTGGTTACATAGTCGACTTGTTTTTCCAAATACCGGAATATATCGATCTTGTAACTTCGCGACAGATCGTTTTTGTTGGTTATACATAAACGCCCTAAACCCCCTATTGTGTTTAAAATCCGCAGTGCTTCATTGATATTAGTGGCAGTAGAGCACTTTTTGCAATGACAAGTATAGGGGTTTTTGGCCAATATGACTGCCACATCGTTGAGAAAATTGTAGAAGTGCGCATTTTCGATGGATAAGTTGTTCTTTTTGTATAATTGTAAGACGGCGTATCCCACCGATGACACCAAAGTACAAACGGACTGTAAGGCAGCAGTTGAACCGTAATTCTTGTGGTACGTCTTTAGACTAGTATGGACCCGTTCGGGGGTTTGTGTTGTCACTGAGGTCCCATTCCCTGGGTTAACCCACTCAACAATCTCCATAATGTCGTTCAAAAACCCAAACTCCTTACCCTTCAAAGATCTCAATCGTTCGCACGTTGAGTTGTAACAACGACTAGCTAATTTGTACTTTTCGTTTTTTAGTAAATGTGTATATAAAAGCGACAAGTTATTAATCACAGCGGGGTAAAGCGACGCTTCCAAACTATTCAACGATTTTATCACATAGTCATAATACTGTATTAACTCTTCTAGAGAAATATTGAGCATGAGTAGCGCCAGTAGGCAATTGTGCACGTTTTCGAGGAAACTGTTTTTTCTGCCGAGTCTCTTATGTATCGAAGTTTGCAAAATCGTGAGTCTCAAGAGTCCACTTTTTTGGGTTTCATCAACTGTTGGAATTGTACGGACGATGACATTGTAGATAGACTTACAGATGCTTTCGTAGATTGTGTGGTGTTCTTTCGTTAGGCTGACCGGCATGAACTCTGGGATGAACAGCTCTCGGAGTTGGACTATGCACTCGAAGTTTTTCTGAAACAAATCGAACATTTAAATTAAAACACAATTGAGTCATCAGTGCAAAATGCGTAATTTGAATGACGAGTGTAAAAAATCAAAGCGGATTCATAAAATACAAGTACAGGAGTATATTAATTTATAAAATGTGAATAGCATTTACCGTGCAAAAACATATTTCTGTAGTAGTTTCTTAAATAATAAAAAAAAAACAATCTGAGAAAAAACAAAATTATAAAATGGCCGAATTCAACTGCCAAAATCAGTGTTACCTTAACACGTATTAGCCCCGCCCACCCACTCTTAGAGGATCTGTCATTGGCCAAAACGAGTCTTCCTTTGGCAATTTTTTTTTTCAACTGAAGAAAACTTTCGATTTTTTTATTTTACAATTTTGGCAGTTTTCCGATTTCTCAATTATTTGATTTTTTAAAATATCGAAAAAATAGATGTTCATTTTTTTAAACTTTCGATTTTTGATTTTTTCTCGCCGGGTTTTTGGAAGGGAGTAAAAAGTAATTTTGATCAGCGATTGCCATGTTTACCGTAACTTTCAAACATTTTTTTCTTTTAGTTAAAAAATCTGACAAAACGTGAAAAGGAAAAATTTTAACCTGAGAACTTGAAAAGTCAAAAGGCTGGAATTAAAAACAGCAAAATTGTCAAACAACTTATCAAATGTTGAAAAATCTAAAAACTAAAAAAAAAATTAAAGCGGGAATTCAATTTTATAAGATTTGTTTTTTTTTTTCAATTTTCCGATATTTCAGTTTTTGATTTTCCGATTAAACAGTTGTACAATTTTCCGATTTCTCATTTATCCAATTTTTCAATTTGTCATTTTTTGATTTTTAAGGTTTTTTTATTTATTTTTATATATTTGTCTGCCAAAATCAGTCTTATTTTTACAAGTATTAGCCCCGCCCACCCACCCTTATTTTCTTAAAGGATATGTTATTTGCAAAAATCAGTCTCATACTTGCCAAGATAAGACTGATTTTGGCAGATGACCTATTCTTTATTTTCTTACAAGAGTACGTCACTGGCCAAAATGAGTCTTATTTTGGCAAATACTAGCCCCACCCACCCGCCCTTTGTTTTCTTAGAGAGAATATCATTTGCCAAAATCAGTCTTATTGTAGCGAGTACTACTAAATTTTTCCGTTTTTCGATTTTTCAACTTTCGAATTTTTCAGTTTTTCAACTTTCGAATTTTTCAATTTTTCGCTTTCTAAATTTTCAACTTTTTGATCTGTCTTTCCATTTTTTATTTCTCTGGGCAACTGAAAAGAGCTTTTGATTTTTTAATTTTACAATTGTGGCAGTTTTCCGATTTCTCAATTATTTGATTTTTAAAAATATCGAGAAAATATATATTTAATTTTTTAAATTTTCGATTTTTGATTTCTCGCCACCGAGTTTTTGGAAGGAAGTAAAAAGTAATTTTGATCAGCGTTTGGCATGTTTACCGTAACCTTAAAACATTTGAAAATTTTGTTTCTAATTTTCAATTTTTGGATTTTTCAATTTTTCAAAATTTCGGTTCGAATAAATTTGTTGTTTTAGTTAAAAAAATCCAAAAATGACAAATCGTGAAAAGGAAAAATTTTAACTTGAGAACTTGAAAAATCAAAAGATTGGGATTAAAAACCGCAAAATTGTCAAACAACTTATCAAAAGAAATATTCAAAAGTTGAAAAATCTAAAAAGTAAAAAAAAAATGAAAACTGAAATTTCAAATTCGATTTTATAAGATTTTTTTTTTATTTTTCGAAATTTCAGTTTTTGATTTTTCCAATTAAACAGTTGTATAATTTTCCGATTTCTCATTTATCCAATTTTTCAATTTGTCATTTTTTTGATTTTTACGTTTTTTTTATTTTTAGCAAGTACTAGCCCCCCCACCCAGCCTTTATTTTCTTAGAAGAGTGCATCATTTGTCAAAACCAGTCTCATCTTACAAGTACTAGCCCCGCCCACCCACCCTTATTTTCTTAAAGGATATGTTATTTGCAAAAATCAGTCTCATACTTGCCAAGATAAGACTGATTTTGGCAGATGACCCATTCTTTATTTTCTTACAAGAGTACGCCACTGGCCAAAATGAGTCTTATTTTGGCAAATACAAGCCCCACCCACCCGCCCTTTATTTTCTTAGAGAGAATATCATTTGCCAAAATCCATCTTATCGTAGCGAGTACTACTAAATTTTTCCGTCTTTCAATTTTTCAACTTTCGAATTTTTCAGTTTTTCAACTTTCGAATTTTTCAATTTTTCGCTTTCTAAATTTTCAACTTTTTGATTTGTCTTTCCATTTTTTATTTCTCTGGACAACTAAAAAGAGCTTTCGATTTTTTAATTTTACAATTCTGGCAGTTTTCCGATTTCTCAATTATTTGATTTTTAAAAATATCGAGAAAATAGATGTTTAATTTTTTAAATTTTCGATTTTTGATTTTTCGCCAGCGAGTTTTTGGAAGGAAGTAAAAAGTAATTTTGATCAGCGATTGCCATGTTTACCGTAACTTGAAAACATTTCAAAAATTTGTTTCTAATTTTCGATTTTTAGATTTTTCAATTTTTCAAAATTTCGGTTCGAATAAATTTGTTGTTTTAGTTAAAAAAATCCAAAAATGACAAATCGTGAAAAGGAAAAATTTTAACTTGAGAACTTGAAAAATCAAAAGATTGGGATTAAAAACCGCAAAATTGTCAAACTTATCAAATGAAATATTCAAAAGTTGAAAAATCTAAAAAATAAAAAAAAATGAAAACTGGAATTTCAAATTCGATTTTATAAGATTTTTTTTTAATTTTTCGATATTTCAGTTTTTGATTTTTCCAATTAAACAGTTGTATAATTTTCCGATTTCTCATTTATTCAATTTTTCAATTTGTCATTTTTTTGATTTTTACGTTTTTTTATTTTTAGCAAGTACTAGCCCCCCCCACCCAACCTTTATTTTCTTAGAAGAGTGCATCATTTGTCAAAATCAGTCTCATCTTACAAGTACTAGCCCCGCCCACCCACCCTTATTTTCGTAAAGGATATGTTATTTGCAAAAATCAGTCTCATACTTGCCAAGATAAGACTGATTTTGACAGATGACCTATTCTTTATTTTCTTAGAAGAGTACGTCATTGGCCAGAATGAGTCTTATTTTGGCAAATACTAGCCCCACCCACCCGCCCTTTGTTTTCTTAGAGAGAATATCATTTGCCAAAATCAGTCTTATCGTAGCGAGTACTACTAAATTTTTCCGTTTTTCGATTTTTCAACTTTCGAATTTTTCAGTTTTTCACCTTTCGAATTTTTCAATTTTTCGCTTTCTAAATTTTCAACTTTTTGATCTGTCTTTCCATTTTTTATTTCTCTGGGCAACCGAAAAGAGCTTTCGATTTTTTAATTTTACAATTGTGGCAGTTTTCCGATTTGTACATTATGTATCTGATTTTTAAAAATATCGAGAAAATAATGTTTAATTTTTTAAATTTTCGATTTTTGATTTTTCGCCACCGACTATTTGGAAGGGAGTAAAAAGTAATTTTGATCAGCGATTGCCATGTTTACCGTAACTTTAAAGCATTTCAAAAATTTGTTTCTAATTTTCAATTTTTGGATTTTTCAATTTTTCAAAATTTCGGTTCGAATGAATTTGTTGTTTTAGTTAAAAAAATCCAAAAATGACAAATCGTGAAAAGGAAAAATTTTAACTTGAGAACTTGAAAAATCAAAAGATTGGGATTAAAAACCGCAAAATTGTCAAACAACTTATCAAATGAAATATTCAAAAGTTGAAAAATCTAAAAAGTAAAAAAAAAAATGAAAACTGGAATTTTAAATTCGATTTTATAAGATTTTTTTTTAATTTTTCGATATTTCAGTTTTTGATTTTCCAATTAAACAGTTGTATAATTTTCCAATTTCTCATTTATCCAATTTTTCAATTTGTGATTTTTTTGATTTTTACGTTTTTTTATTTTTAGCAAGTACTAGCCCCCCCATCCAGCCTTTATTTTCTTAGAAGAGTACGTCATTGGCCAAAATGAGTCTTATTTTCGCAAATACTAGCCCTACCCACCCGCCCTTTGTTTTCTTAGAGAGAATATCATTTGCCAAAATCAGTCTTATCGTAGCGAGTACTACTAAATTTTTTCGTTTTTCGATTTTTCAACTTTCGAATTTTTCAATTTTTCGCTTTCTAAATTTGCAACTTTTTGATCTGTCTTTCGATTTTTGATTTCTCTGGGCAACTGAAAAACTTTCAATTTTTTTATTTTACAATTTTGGCAGTTTTCCGATTTCTCAATTACATATTTGATTTTTCGCCGAGTTTTTGGAAGGAAGTAAAAAGAAATTTTGATCAGCGATTGCCATGTTTACCGTAACTTTAAAGCATTTCAAAAATTTGTTTCTAATTTTCAATTTTAAGATTTTTAGATTTTTCAAAATTGTGGTTCGAATAAATTTGTTGTTTTAGTTAAAAAAATCCAAAAATGACAAATCGTGAAAGGGAAAAATTTTAACTTGAGAACTTGAAAAATCAAAAGATTGGGATTAAAAACCGCAAAATTGTCAAACAACTTATCAAATGAAATATACAAAAGTTGAAAAATCTAAAAAGTAAAAAAAATGAAAACTGGAATTTCAAATTCGATTTTATAAGATTTTTTTTTTTAATTTTTCGATATTTCAGTTTTTGATTTTCCAATTAAACAGTTGTATAATTTTCCGATTTTTCATTTATCCAATTTTTCAATTTGTCATTTTTTTTATTTTTACGTTTTTTTATTTTTAGCAAGTACTAGCCCCCCCACCCAGCCTTTATGTTCTTAGAAGAGTACGTCATTGGCCAAAATGAGTCTTATTTTGGCAAATACTAGCCCCACCCACCCGCCCTTTGTTTTCTTAGAGAGAATATCATTTGCCAAAATCAGTCTTATCGTAGCGAGTACTACTAAATTTTTCCGTTTTTCGATTTTTCAACTTTCGAATTTTTCAGTTTTTCAACTT